GGTAGGTAGGTAGGTATATGTATGTATTTAGGTATGTTTGTTTGTATGTATGTATGGATATGTGTGTGTGTGTGTCGGTAGGTCGGTAGGTCGGTCGGTCGGTCGGTTGGTGGGTCGGTCGGTCGGTAGGTAGGTAGTTAGGACAAGCCAAGCCAAGCCATGCCATGCCAAGCCATGCCAAGCCATGCCAAGCGAAGTCATGCCAAGCCAAACCATGCCAAGCTATGCCATGCCATGCCATGCCATGCCATACAATGCCATTGATGGATGGATGGATGGATGGATGGATGGATGGATGGATGGATGGATGGATGGATGGATGGATGTCAATTGTTAAGTGGGTCGGGAACCAGGGCAGAGTATAATCAAGGGCTATGTACCCACGCTTAGAAGGTGGACTTGGACTTGGACCGGGGAGGATAAGCCAAAGATCAGACCAGGAAGGGGTTGATAGGTGAGAGGTGACAGCCAAACCCCCCTCACCAGATCACCCATTCCAGATCCATTGGCTTTGTCTCCGAAAAAAAAATCAGGATGATGTTCCTTTGGTTTCCCGTCTGGTGATATCCCGCATGGGGAAAAAATCCGATACCCAAAATTGGGAAAGAAGCAGATAGGCTGAGGTCCCATAAAACAATGAGAGGGCAAGGTCCTGAGCGGTGTGTTTTTTCATATAAATCCTTGTTTTTTGTCAAACGTGCGAAGATGTGGTTTTAGCACAGGACCTTGCCCTCTCCAACACTCACAGTGTAACCACTGACAACAAATCACAGGTATAGTCAAGGAATACCAGCAGCGCATCATCCATGAGCCATTCAGTTCGAACACACCGCTCCCATGGCACCTTCCACGTGGCACCTTCGCCATCCTTCGTCATAAACTGCAAAGAGAACAAATGCAGAGCTAAAGAGCAGATAACACTGGCAGCCAACAGAGGTAGTAGAAAACCAAAAAAGACCTCGAGAAAACCCAAAAAAACAAACAAAAACAAACAAAAAACAATCTGGGAGCACAGATATGGGTGTATGCCAACAATGTCCCCCACAAGATTGCTTTTTTGGTGTTTTGTTGTTTTCTCGAGGCTTTTCGCACTTTTCCCAAAACCCCAAAAAAACCTCGAGAAAAAAAATATGGGAGTACAGATATGGGTGTATGCCAAGAATGTCCCCCACCAGATTGTTTTTTGGTTTTCTCGAGGTGGTTTTGCAGTTTTCCCAAAAAACAACAAAAAACCTCGAGAAAACGAGGGGGAAAAAAAAAGAAGAAGAGAAAAAAAAAGGGGGAGGGGGGGAAAAAATCTGGGAGTACAGATATGGGTGTCTGCCAAGAATGTCCTCCACCAGATTGTTTTTTTAGTTGTTTTTGTTTTTTGGTTTTCTCGAGTTTTTTGTGGTTTCAGAGCACAAAAGGGGCAAAAGTGGTTATATGAAAAAACCCACCGCTCAGGACCTTGCTTTCTGAAAACCATTTGCATCCTCAGGCGGTTCCAGGTGCCGAATTTGGCCATCCGGTGTACGACCCGACAAAATTATTTGCACAAAAGGACATGGGACAAGAGGATGGCCTTCCCGGGTTTTGTAAGAAAAGATCGGTGGTCTCCCCACTGTCATCCCTAATCTTCGCAGTTGCTCATATGAGACTTGGTCAATACTTTTTGTGTCCCCCACTGACATGGAAATTTTGGTGGAAGCAGCCTGTTTCCAAATAGCAGTGTGCTGAGTGTGACCCATGTCATTGCCTTTGCTACAATGGCTCGTACACGTGGCTCGTACACGTGTATGATGCATTCAGCCTTTGACTACTTTCTCAGTTCCGTTGCCGCCTCTCGCATCTAAAAACCGGGAACTGAGCTGGTTGTCAAGGGAAAAAGCGATGCAGCGCTTCTGGGAGCCAGATATCTGGGCTGCTCAAAGGCAATTCTAACTTTGGGCTCTGAAAGGATTGGGCCCTGTGCAGATTTTCCAACCAGGGAAAGAATTGCTGGTTCTCACCCTCAGCATCCGCAAAGAACTTCACAGTGTTGTTGATATCCCCAGTTCACAGGCGATACATGCTTGGGTAAAAAGCACACGGCTGGCGATTCGCTAAGCTGATGATTCGCCTTAACTGAAACTGTGTCAAAGGAGCTCAAGCGAATCGTCAGCTTTCCCATTACCAACCCAAACAGGGGCTCTCGAAAACCAAACACGCGTGACACAAAACCACACCTACAAGCCTGTTCGAAAACATGTTCGGCGCGCCAAGAAAAAAGCCAAGAGGCCCACCTCGAAACCCTGGCTGAAAGAGCCTGACTCAAGGAATCCGTCAAAGAGCCGGAGCTCTGGTAAATCTGTATAGCTTCCTGCTCTTGTAGGGTCATACTTATCATGATGAGTTATTTGAAAAACTCGCACCTACCCTGCAGCCATTGGCAGTCCAAGAGCCCAACAAAAAACGAACCAACCTTTTGTTGTCCCATCGAAAAGTCCAAAGAGGCGGGTATGAGTGAAAATTAATCACCACCACGATATGGACCGCGTCCCTGGTAACATTTGCCAGGGTTTCATTTCGGGCATTCCCATTTTTGACCCACAGCCAGGTGAGGGAACTTGTTTGCCTGAGAAGTTGTCTCCCAACTTGCGCAATCAAAACCAGGCTAGAAGGTAGCGGCCTTGAAAAGGTACCCACAGAACACCTTGCAAAAGATTGTCCTTCCCCAACGACCCCCTGCAGTTGGGTAGGTGGTACAATTCCAACCCTCTTTGGTTTAGTCTTCACTTTGCTACTCAAAGGGAGTTGTGCCATTTACCCTGCTGTAAACCTCTAGCTGTTGAAGATCCCAACTTCCTCCAACTTGTCCAACGTAACTTGCCGACTCCGCTTAGTCTATGGACGACTTCCAAAAGCATCGTCTTGGTCCACATCTGGGGTACCCCAAAATATGTGTCGTAGTTTGCCCCTTTCAGAGACCTGCTTAATGGACCTCCGTTTTTTGACTCACTTAAGGTCTCCAGGCCGAAGGCTCCTGTTGCCAATGCGCACGCTCTTCATCTGCACCTGCAGAAAAACAAAACACCTCTCAAGCGCTGGATTGGTAGGGCTACCAACTTGTTGTGGTTTCCCCCCGGTCTCACCCCGGTCTCATGACCCCGGCAAAACGTGGACAGAACCAAAAAGCACAAAAGGTCAAACAGTAGGAAGCGCGTGCCAAGAGCAGCGAAGAAAGCTTGGTGCTTCAAACCTACGTGTGCCGCGGGCAAAACTCCTGCCCGAGTGAAAAGGTTTTTGACCAAGGCGAATCTGGGAATAGTCTCCAGGCGAAAAGGTGGTTGGAGCCCCCCAAAAAAATAATATCTGCGGCTGTGAAAGGGACATTCTCAACATTACCCTCTACCACTGGTGGTTTAGAGGCAAACCACCCAACGAAGTTGGCGAAGCCAAATGTTCACTTGATGGGACCCAGATTTTGGGCTGTGGGCGTGTCCATTTATTGGGGGATGCCCCGGATTGGTTTTGAAGTTTTCTCGACAGGGGTTCCTCCATTTGTAGGCAAACCCATCCGTCCTAACAAGCAAACACAAAGGCGGTCAAGTCATGCCAGTCACACTACCCATCATCTGTACCCTTCATCTACCCCACATCTACCCCTCATCTAGCCCTCATAGTCACAGGGGCAAATCAATCCAACCAACCAACCAACCACCCACCCACCCACCCCACCGACCGACCGACCGACCCAACCAACCAACCAACCAGCCAACCAACCAAGCCCACCCACCCACCCACCCCACCGACCGACCGACCCACCCACCAACCAACCAGCCAACCAGCCAACCAGCCAACCAACCAACCAACCAACCCCACGCACCCACCCAACCACCGACCGACCGACCGACCGACCAACCAACCAACAAACCAACCAGCATCATCTACCCCTCATCAACCATCATCTACCCCTCAGTTCTAGCCCTCATTCGGTCAAAATCCCGTACCCCCAGTGAAAAAGACTAAAATGGGTGGTGAATTCACCTACCAACCAAAATGGTACCATTGGTTTTGATGGGTTGCACTTCAGGCCTTCGGCCTGGCTGGCCCCTTCTACCCGCCTGCCAGTAGCCCAGCTCCGGGGACGCCACCGGCGCCCAGCTCAGCGGCGAGGTGAGCTGGTCCTCAGCTCCAGGGACTGACTCAAGACGCGTGAGGCTTCAGCTCGCCGTGTCGGGCTCAACGCGAAAAAGGCCATAGCTGTGGACAATATCCTCTTAGGCACCACCTGAGAAACCCTGGTTTCTGATGATACCAACAAACAATGGTTTCCATGGCTCTTTGGTGGTGCAGGATTTCGTCCATCCACTGTAGGTGTCCTTTTTGGGGGAAAATAGATGGCACTGGTCAATGGAAGAAAACCAACCTAAACCAGTGCCATCTATTTCGAGCCAAAATCACCTAAAAAGGACGCCTATGAAAAAGGCGGTTTTCAGGGCGTTTGCGCGCGGCTCAGGGTGTTGTGCGGTTTTGAGTGTGATGGGTGAAAGGTGAGTTTGAGCTTGCGCTCTTGAAGTGCAAGGCTTTAGTTGACTTTAAAATTAAGAGTTGATTGTTGCAAGGCGTTGTGCGGCTTAAGGGGGGTTGTTGTGTTTAGATTAGGGTTGCTTAGTATGGAGCTGTCAGCCCTTGACGAAAAAACGTCCTGCAGTATTTCTGTGTGTGTGTGTGTGTGTTACATACCAACTAAAAAGCGCGTATCTGGAAGAGGTCGAGGAAAAATATGCTAATGACAATGAAAATGAAAGTTGATCTTTCCCAAAGGAGAATATGAGACTCCCTGGCAAAGGGAACTAACATTAAACCTAAGCATTGCATTTGAAGGCCCTAGTCTTCACGGATGCCAAATGCACGTGAAAAATGGCAGATGAGCAGCCAAACAAGGCAGTGCCAGCTGCAAAACCGAGAGAAGAACTGGGGCGGCAAGTGGAAATACGGATCTGGACAAAATACCAAGTACTAAGTACCCTCCCCTCCTTTGTGCATTGGTTCCTCCTGCTTGGAAATAACTGGTTGCCAAACTGGAAATCGGGAATGTCCAAGTAACGGACCTTCATGGATTCTCGCACCCATCCCATCGATCGTCAAACTCGCTTGTTATGAGCTGTCCAGTCGGATAGGGCAACTCCAAGACGAACTCAGCGCCCTTGGGCCATAGGCACCCATGGTCTTTGGTCCTTGGCCCTCATTCCCTTTCCCCTGCGCCCAAAAGCCGATTCCCTCGAGCGGAGCCCTTTGAGCAAACCTCCATGGAACTTGGCGGACTTGGCAAGCCATGCCACGTGATCAGCCTCATTCCTCCAAATACCCTCTGAATTGGTGCATATGTTCCAGAACCGGGCAGAAATGATGGCAAGCGCGTACCTCCTTTATCAGTCAGGAGTGACATTCCCTAAAAAGGTGAGTATTTGGAATGGGGTACCCCCGTTGGGTATGAAACGCGGTGGTTATTTGTTTACCAGGAGCTTGCTACAGGCGAATGGGTCCCACAAATGGCTCTGTTGTGTTTTTGGAGGGATTTTCCAAAACCTGCTTGCTGACGGATGCTTCTTTTTCAAGTCAGGGCTTGACAAAATTCTGTGCTCAATTTTCCCCGATGTGATGTGGGCCGTGCTGTTCACGTATCATACCCCAAAAGCAAACGCGCTGCTCCCCTGCAAATTGACGGAAGAAACCCAACAAGCGTGGCTCTTGCAAGAGGAGGTTCCAAAGCCGACGAGAGATTTCGGCAAGACACGGGAGAGAAGCCGCCGAAGGAGATTTCGCTGACCTCCTCATCACTATCGGCCAAGAACACGCCTCAGAAACATGCTCCAATGACAAGGCCCACCCCCTACGAACCCTTGCTCTTTGGGTGGGGGGGGGATGCTGCCAAATGCCAAACGTTGCCATGTTTGAACAAATGAAGTGTTTGAAAAGAACGATGGTCGAACAAATTTGTTCGAAGGACCACCAGAATCACGACTGAAAAAAGCATAGGTGCCCATTGAAAGAGGTTTGGTGCCACCATTGAAATGACCTAGAGCTTCGGAAACCCCCTTGAAATCATCCGGTTGCCGCCGGAGTGCGCATTCCGGGCTCGGCAAAAAAAAAAACACGCCCCAAAGCCGCCGAAGCTGCGCCGAACCTGAGCCCTGCGCCGAAGCTTTGATGCTCAAGGGCTACCTGCGGCTGACTGCGAGGATCCCGAGGCGGTCTGCTCCAACTTGATCCCCACAAGACTCTTCAAGAGGGAATCGGTCGAAAGGCAAAAACCCGATTGAACATTTTCTGATACCCATAGACTGCGCGGGTGGACTTCGTGATTTTGGCTCAAACAAGATCACGTGGTCAACAGTTCTGCACGATCGACATTGCTCAAGGCTTTGACCTCATCGCCGTACCGCCATTCTTGAGTCCACGCCATGAGCAGCGACCAACACCCATTGACTTCATTCTAACGTGGACTTTTCAGGTTGATACGCTGACATTTATCTTTGCATGTTTAGGTCCTTCTTTTCAAGGCACTTGAGGCGTTGATCGTGGTGCTTATTTGTGGCATCCGCACCTCTAGGCGGTATAACCCCAATTTGTCCAGAATGGCCAGCTCGATGCAGGCCCCCAGCCTGCTTGGCCATCATGCCGAAAAAGCTGAACCTCTCAGTTCGCGGGAAACAAGTGTCTCGCCAGCGGGTCGGGCTTTTGGGGAAACAGGGAGAGGGTTGAATCCTACTTACTTGCCGAGCCTGGTGACGGTGAGCGCCTCTCCGCTACAAACGCTTCAGTCAAAACCGGTGAAGGACACGACATGGGAAGCTTAAAGGAAACCAACTGGCGCCAAAGGCCTGGCAAGACCTGGCAGAGCAGGGTCCCAAGCATGCATTTGGGGCCAATCATGCTTTTCACTACCAGAGCATACCCTCACAAGGGTGCGTTTGCTTTCGAGGGCACCCCCTCTTTTTGGTGGTTTTAAAGGGAAACCCACAAGAAAAAAACACACTCATTTTTCTTTGGCGGGGGGTCCCTGAAAAAAAGAAAAAATGCACCCATCAAGCTGCTGGTTTCGGGTGTCCTCTAAACGGACCCTGAGCCAAACTCTGCTGCGAGGCGGCTCTGGCGCCAGCGCCAAGTTGTCCAACCTCAGCCGCTGGCGCCGGATCCTTCAGACTTTGATGAAACATGAGTTGCCTTTGGGGTTGGAAAAGAGTCCAAACATGTCTTGGGACGTGCACCTTTGGTCCGGGACGCTTTGGTGGACAGTGTGAACTTTGGCGGGGCCCGACTTATGTCCACCAAGCTCTTTTGAGGCGGTCCCTTATTGAACTTGAGCCATGTACTCCCGTGTGGATGGACAAAATCGAATGCGCACCAGATGAAAGGAATCCTACTGGTGCCCCCTCCATAGGGCTCCGCTCCTCCAACAATTCGACGTCGGAAAGGGTCTAGGACTCTAACACGGCCCGCAAGAGGAGATTGGGAGAAAAAGGGAGATTCTGATACCAAACATGATGTGTTTAGGGGGTCCATGTCAATTGGCCAGCGTGCGTTTTGCCCAAGCTGCTTTGAATAATAAAGATCTTGGGCAAATGTGGGGGAGGGTATATGTATCCGACTCTACAAAACTTTCAGTTGCAAGCCGCCACAACCAAGGAAAACCATAAGACAAAAGTTGGAACTACGTACTTGTGTCTCATAGAAGGGGAACCTCAAAGGGTGGCTCGCTCTAGTTCTCCCCTCAGAGCAACCCCCCAAAAAAATATGTGTATATATATATATAGGAACCCTCAAAAAACACGCATGCAATACTTTGATTCCATTGTGTCTGTGCAAATTATGATAATTCCCAAATCGGAATTCAAGGGATCTACAATTCAGAACCTGTTCTAATCTGCGCAGATGTGCACCCGTTCTAATGTGTCCTTACGTGCATCTTACCTTGGCCCCTTCTCAGATTCTGTTTCACATTTCCTCTACCACAAATACAAAAATATGATATTTAGAGGAGACCCCAGTTAATATCATGCGCTCGCGCCGAGCCGAGCTCACTTTTTGACACGTCCGGCAGCCGGGCAAGAAGGGTGCTGCGAGCAACCCTCCCAGCAGTCGCTTAAGTTCGATAGCGACTCCCCAGTTCTTAATAAGGTAAAGTTCATCCCGGGGCTTCTAGCTAGTACCCGGCCCCAAGGTTCAATGGTTCTAGATTGAAAAGTAAGGGGTTGACATCATTTGACCTACCCTGAAAAGAAGCGGAGGGGTCACGGGGTAAGAGCTAGTTCATCCCATTTCTCAAGAAGTTTCTACCCAAAACCTGTCGTATTCCTATCTGCTAGCTGCCATTCCTGGTGAGGGGAATGGTTGTTTTGTCTGTCGGGGGCTGGACAATTATAATAGTTTGCCCCCCTTTAGTTTCCATTTCAGGAAAACAGTGTTTGGGCTATTTGGGGGGGGGAGGTTCTTCAAATGGACCCTGTTAAACAAAGGTTGAAGCAAGCCATAGAGGGCCCATTTTGCCAAACTCGTCCATTCAGCACCCTAGCCCCACTGCAGAACTGACTGCAGGCTTTGTGCCACGTGCTGCAGCATGTGGCGGAGCCTTCGCGACTGGCTGAAACGCTCACAGGACAAAGCGGCCGCGTTGAAGCCTCGGGTTCCACCGGAAAAACTCGCACCATGGGTAGTGTTGAGCCCATACGAAAATCAACCAACCTGTTTATTTATAAGGGGTGGGGGACAACCCCTCCAAAAGTGGTCTGATTCCACTCACTGAACCCAAGTTGACACCCACCTATTGATAAACTGGGGTTGATGAATATGGGGTCAACATTACTTGGATTTTCAACATACAGAGGTTGGTTCACCTGTGACGATCATCATAACCTAGAAAGTTGAACATCCCACACCCACTAGTTTAAGGGTATGCTGTTTCAATGATGTCAGCCCCTGACGGAAAACAACTCTATTTCCCGTGGAAACCTGGTTTTGCAAAATATACAACAAAAGCGCTGCCAAACAAGAGGGACCTCCCAAAATGGGTTTCCTGTGGTGTCCCTTAAGCACAGTTGTCTAAAACCCAAGGCGGTTCACAGCCATCCCCGCTCGAAATCTAAGATCTAAGGTTCTGTATACTGGATCCGAAGAACATACCCACAAGGATGTTGGCTACGTCCCCTCCCCAGGCATCATCGGCTTAAACCCACTTGGTGGGAACATTCTCCCCTCGTTGATACCATCCCAGAAATCATAGAACCTGAAAGGGACTCAAACGGCTTTCCTCGAAGGACCCTCATTCAGGTTGCTTTCAAGGCAAATGTCAAATGACAGTCCACAGACTGAAAATGAGGAAACTTTCTGCAAGCCACCTTCACTTTGAGTGACGTTTTGACACCCGTCGCGACAACTTGCCCAGGTAAGGCGTAGCTTTCTGCTAACAAGACGCTGACCAGGTCTGCCATGTCTGCCTGCCGCAAACCAGTGTACCGAAAACATCGGACACCGGGTTCAGAACACCCGCATGGCTTGCTATTTCTTTAAACTAAAGGGAAACTCATGTTTCCGTTGTTGAAGTTACAAAAGATACATACTACCTGTCCCCTCAAAGGAATTGCTCTTAACCCTGGTTCTTGTAAAATCCGATGTAGGCTTGCCTTGGAATAGGGGACCGCCCAAAACTGCAAGCGGCTTGCAGCTGATATGGCCAGTGTTGAGTCCAAGAAAAAACCGCGCAGCATCCTGAACGCGCTTTGTGGCAAGGCTGTATAGGTCCAGCAACTTGGATTCAAAGCTGAAGCGCCTTCCAAGTAGGGCAGGGCCCCTGCATGAAAAGGGGGGTGTGGGGATGTGGGGCAAGTTTCTCCAGTTCCACATAACCTTGCCACTGAAAGGACTCCCTCAACGGAGTTTTAGCCGTGACTGGAATCATGCAGGGTACGCCCTGCCTAGGTCCGAATCGGTTTGTTTTCCTTTTGGGGGCCCAAAGATGTGGGCCGACGTACATTTGGTTTGCTCTGAACATCCGCGGAAATGATGAGTTCCACTTAAGAACTTTTTTTCAGGGTGGCCGAACCATTTAACCGGGGCTGCACCTTGGCAGCCATAGTTCCTCCGGGTGTGGCCTTTTGGAAAATCCTTTTCAGGATTGTTCCGGTTCAGCCGTATCAAAATTCAGCCAGTATCAAGGTGGGGCGCCTAGAAGCAAGTTTGTTTAATGGTTCAACCATTGCCCGAGAGCAACAATTATTGATTTATCTTCTTGTTGTTGTACCTAATACGGATTGCGGGAACTCGGGAGGGACGCCGCATTAGCAATGGAGGATGGGGTTGGGCAGGACGGTCATGGGCCCGAGGGGTCTTAGACAACCACGGTAAGGTTAAACGATGACCTGAGGAGTCCTGACCCTTGTTGAGGCCGGGGACAAATAGGAGGGGTTGAGGTGTCTTCTATTCATCTAGTCGCCCAAGAGATGGGACAATTTCAAACGAACCTTCGGCTCGACCGAAATTCTTGGGTCCCCAGACCTTGAACCCAAGATTTCCTACCGATGGCCGGGCAAATCGAAACTGGCACAAAGCATGCCGCAGTTGTCTGAAAACAAGGATCCCTGGAAACCATGTGCCAGCCACTCTCAATGATGCTAATTGCATGAGCAGGCTTGTCCCGAGCACGGTTTGTCCCGAGCTCCATATTGATCACACCTCCCACTTCTTTCGGGCATGATGTCAAATAATGTCAACCCCTGACTCACAAGGAAGTACTTCACCCGAGACCTGGTTGGTCGAAACCCCTCAAAAAGGCCGGATATGTTTAGACCAGACAAGAGAATCTTGTCCAGCCAAGCGCTACCCACCAAAGGACCCCTTGAGGTTCAAAAGCTCCAACCAAGAGTCCAAATCCCACAAAATCCTCGGCTGTGTTTGCAGGTTCCATGTGATCCCTTAGAGCCCGCATCCCCACAGTCAGACCCGAGCTTTTGTTCGGCCCAAAAAAGCCGCTGCACTGGCAGATCGCACATCCAGAGTGAATGCAAGAACTCCTGCTTTTACTCTATGGTTGACAAGCTAGTACCCTTGAACAACCCACCTTAAACAATAGACCCTCCAGCATGCGGGTGCGTCGTTTTTCTCTCGGACCAACCCAAAAAAATATAACAAAGCTTGGCTGGCGTCCTTGTAGTTTTCCTCTTTAGCCACCGAAAAAGGGGTACTCTCAAAAAACGACATGCACATATGCTTATTTTCGGCTTCCCCCCAGTTGCTGGTTTGGATTGGTGCTTTGGTGGTGAAACGGGCCGGTCTCCCGTTTTCCCTCTACAAGAAGGGCTTCAAATCCAAACCCACCGGGCTCCAAACAACTGAGATTTAGTTTTCCTTTACCGGCAAAAAAAGGGTACCCTCAAACAAAAGAACACCCTCAAGAATCCAAGAACCAGGGGTTCAAATTCCCAAACCAATCCAAGCCACCAATCAAGGGGGCCTTCTGAACTCGTGGATGAAAAAAAAACTGGTTTGTGAGCCAGACCGGTGCCCTTTTTTGGGTCTGCAGATCTGTTGCATGCCTGCTGCATCTGCTGCAGCAGCCGCAGCGACATGCGCCAATGCTGGCCCAGCGATCGCAGGACCTTCGGGCGAAACGCTCGATGTGGGGGTTCTTCTCCAAGTGAGTTGCGGCTCCTTTTTATTTTGGGTTGGTACCTTAAAGGGAAACGGCTCGGAGCGGCCCGGGGGGAAGGACATAGATTCCCATGGACAGAAGTGCTCTGGCCCTGGCGATGACTTGGACACCGGGGCCCAAGTCCAAACACCAGTCACCATAATATGGCCATGGGCTTTTCAAAATCCAAAGCCCGTACCCCCAGTGAACATCCGATTCATTCCCTAAAATAGGTTCTAAAATGGGTGGTGAATTCACCTGCCCCAAAATGGTACCATATTTTTGGAAGGCCGTTTAGCGGCCGCTAATCATGTTCGTCCACTGTTTGTGCGCTAGGGTATGGTCCAAGATTAATTTGTCTTTATTTGTCCTTACGGTGTTTGAACACCCAAAGTGCCTGAAGGCAGAGCTGAACTGTCCAAAGCTAGGTCAGACTGATCCACCCCCTGCTGAGGGCAACTGAAACCCAAAAGGAGCCCTTGAGCAATGCAGACAGACACAAACCCAAGATAGATCTTGGTTCTCCCTTCTTCCCTTTCAAGCCTCTCCAAAAGGGAGTAGGGCACCTTTCCTTTGTGGTCCCACAAAAAAAGAAAAGAAAACGGATTTCTTCAAAACTCCAAAAGGGGTACCCTCCAAAAAAGGGGCCCGCCCCCCGTTTTGGTCCCAAAAAGGAGAACTCTCGTTTTGGCCCCCGGCGCAGTTGAAGGTGACGAGGTCCGGGGTCTCCAGCTCCAAGATCCTCAAAGCCAGCTGCCACTGGCCGCTCCTCAGCTCCCGCAGGTGGGCGGAGTCCCATGATTGCTTTTTTTTCCCGTGCGGGTGCCGCAAATTGAGAGCCACACCCAACTAGTACCCTCCCACCGGCGAACATGGATTTGCACAGACCCCTGTAGAAAAACTAGTTTCCTCTTGAAAAGGGCCTGTTTGCACTTCCATGTTAGTTGGTGGGAGGGTAGCCCCCTAAAATGTGGGATTTCCTTTGGGTGTCCCTTCTACCAATTGAGTTGCTCCAAGGCCCAGCAAAGCTTCGCTCAATCGGAAGCCAACTAGGGCCTATTCACCATCATGGCCGCTTCATCCATTGCCTTTTGTAGGCTTGATGGAAAAGCCATGAGAGCCAGGGCTCCAACAGCATTTTGAGACACAGGGAACGTTGTACCAAGATCCCTGTCCAAACGCGAAGCAAACTGAGGCGGAACAACTCAAACTTACCCCAAGTTTGAAGAATAACCGACACAAAAACCAAATAAGAATCCCATCGTTGACTCCCCCCTGAAACATCACCAGACTTGAAAGAATCCACGATGAGTCGGGCCCCAAAAAAGGGATCCAGAGTGCCACGTGCAACATGCAATGGGAATCCCTACAGTTGACCATCGCCTGCCGGCCCCAAATGAGCAGCCAGTTCACCCGGCGCCTGATGGTTCTGGTTCCTTCAAACCTTCCTGGCCAGGCATCTCCAGACCCGAAGCGGCGCTGTTGGAGGTGATCAAATTCGGCACCTCCGAACCGCGACGCTCAGGTAGGTAAACATGGATGTACGTGGCTGACCAGGGTCTGTCCCCAAATACAGCCATGGGTATAACTGTGCATAGATGGTTTGAGCACCCAAGGAGTGGCGACAACACCTCGCCCCCGGCCAAATAAAGGTGGTCCTTTTGAACACTTTGGGCGTCATGCCTCCAGGAGGAAACCGGCACTACTGCATGTTTCGAAGAAAGTAGTCTGAGAAGGACTAAAAAAAGAGGAGAAAGTCTTTGGACCTACGTGGCAACCCCCTTCAGGGACACCTGGCACGCAGTGGATACCATCGGAACCCCAACCCCGCTTTAGATTCCATATCCGCCTCTCTTGAAAAAAAGCCTTTTCGGCCAACACATGGTTTCCAACTGAAGCACACACAAGAATCAGTCACAGAAACCAGCTACAAACAAATCTACAGGACAGTTGCCAAACATCAACCAAGAACAAGGAACTTCCATGTCCCGCTCGTTTCTTAGACCAATTGGGGCCTTTTTTGGGGCTTCCTTTTTTTCGGCCTGAAACGCGCCTGGCCCACCAAGAGGCCCAGCGCCGCGCGCCACTGCTTCGCCCCCGCGGCCGCACTCACCGCCGCGCCGAGGCCTCGGCGTTCTCCCGTGACGAGATTCGTCGCTTTGTCGACCCCGGAGCTCGCAAGATCTCGGGTTCCAATTGGTCTGCGTGTCTGCGATGCTTACAAGTCCGAAATATCCCCAAGTCAACAATTCCTGGTTCACCATAAGGGGTGACCCCATGCTCCAAGGGGGGTGTTTTTGAGAGCTGGCGCAACAAATAGGAAACCAGGGCAATATCTACAATAGGAATGTGAACCGATATATCCCCAAGTAAACAAGTGATCCCCAAGCACAGATAATTACAAGGTGACCTTGATCTTTTCTGTTCCTGGTTCACAATAAGGGGTGTCCAAGGGGGGTGTTTTTGAGAGCTGGCGCAACAAATAGGAAACCAGGGCAATATCTACAATAGGAATGTGAACCGAAAAATCCCCAAGTAAACAAGTGATCCCCAAGCACAGATAATTACAAGGTGACCTTGATCTTTTCTGTTCCTGGTTCACCATAAGGGGTGACCCCATGCTCCAAGGGGGGTGTTTTTGAGAGCTGGCGCAACAAATAGGAAACCAGGGCAATGTCTACAATAGGAATGTGAACCGATATATCCCCAAGTAAACAAGTGATCCCCAAGCACAGATAATTACAAGGTGACCTTGATCTTTTCTGTTCCTGGTTCACCATAAGGGGTGACCCCATGCTCCAAGGGGGGTGTTTTTGAGAGCTGGCGCAACAAATAGGAAACCAGGGCAATATCTACAATAGGAATGTGAACCAAAATATCCCCAAGTCAACAAGCGATCCCCAAGCACAGATAATTACAAGGTGACCTTGATCTTTTCTGTTCCTGGTTCACCATAAGGGGTGACCCCATGCTCCAAGGGGGGTGTTTTTGAGAGCTGGCGCAACAAATAGGAAACCAGGGCAATATCTACAATAGGAATGTGAACCGATATATCCCCAAGTAAACAAGTGATCCGCAAGTGACACAGAGAATTGACGCAGGCTCTACGGCAAATTTATTCAAATTGGTTTGCATTGGTCTACAATTGATCCCCCAGAAAGGTTGAGACACTCATTTTGAGACTCTTCGGCCCCACACACCGAGCTGCTGATGGCGTCCGGTTGGAGGCCTCGCGCTGAGTGCAGCAGGCGCAGGGCGAGTTGCCAATTCGCCGCCGCGTCGCAGGCGCTGATGGCGCTGTTGACGCCTCGAGCGGATCGAAGCCGGCCGAGCCGAGTCGAACAGCTCGCCGAACAGCTCGAGGCGCTCGGGTGGAGGGGAGCAACGGATTTGTTGAGGAACGCTGGGGATTTACCCTTTGACCCAAGTGTTGATTTTGGATTCGTCATTGTTTTGCTTGTGGTTTGACCACTTCATTGACCTTCCGTCCCATCTGCCAACAGTCACAGCTCGTTTCTGTTGAGTCACCTGCTTCTAAAGGCATGGTCCCAGCCTGTCCCTAATCCACCGAAGATAAAATGCAGGAGGATGAAGAAAAAAACCGACACATGCACCAAGGCCTGACCAAAAAGAAATCGATCGGTCCTGCAGCTTGCCACGCAGATCAGATGTGCCACGTGGGTCATCCAGGGTCCCTCGGGACCTTTGTCTGAAACCCCCAGGTTCAAGTGAGAACCAAAAACCCCTCACTTGGGCCGGTCCCTTCTGCAGCAAACAAAAAGAGGACCATTCCAACCCTATGCTTTTGTTTTAAAGAAAGAGGAAAAGGGAAGCAACTTGTTGGAGGTCTGGGTTGAGAAGCCAACTCATCTGTGAGTGGATCAGCTTTTGATCAGCTTGTGCCATTTCTTGCTTTGGCTCCAAGAAAAAGCAACAGCAACCCCTCCATTTCTTGGGCAGAAGCCATTCTATTTTGGCACATACCCATGTCTGATTTTTACAACAAACCGGCGTGTGTTGTTTTGCAGCCGCGCAGCTCACCAAGTCCGGCAAGAGTTGGGATCTGGTCATCTCTGTCCTCAGGTCCCGCGAACCAAAGCTTCAAGGCTTCACGATGCGTTGGGATCACAGGGGGGACTGTAAAAATGAGTTCCCTCGGAAAGATGCTGGGTGCTGTCCCACTAACCCACAAGAAGCTGGAGACTTTTGCCCGGGGGGATAGCCAGAAATAGTTCAGAGATATTCAGAGATGGTGGACTCCCTTAGCATTGCAACCGTGGTGAATTGCGGTACATGACTATGACTGGGATTCCCTTGTTCCCCCTGCAATAAGTGACCCTCCGCAAAAGGAGATGTTTGCTTCTTGCACGGTGAGGAAGCATTTGGCATTGAAAAGCAAATCCGATCAATGGAAGGGGCCCTCGAAAACTTAGAAAGCCCATGTCCCCAAGGGCCCACAGGAGGTGACTAGCGCTTCTTCTTGCTCGACCCCTTCTCTTTTCAAGGTCGGACATATTGACAAATGTGGTCAACACTTGCATGCTTGCAATTCTGTCCACCAATCATATGGGTATGTGTTAAACTGGGAAGATCCCGAACAAGTGGTGGTTGTCCTGTTCGTTTCCCTTGTAGCCAACCCAAAGGGTACCCTCAAAAAAACACCTTCCCAAACTTGGTGTTCCCAAGTATGAAAGGAACTTTCAAGAGGTTGCGCACCCCCCTTCTTTGCAAGGTCCCGAAAAATTGGGACCTCATGCGGATTCCACATCCAAAAAAGCAAAGGACCCTCATGCTGAGCTCGTTTTGCCCCCAAGTCGCGGGAGCTCCCCCTAAGCAAAACTATGGCCAAGGGGTTCCGCCCAAACTCGGCGCTGACCTCCGCAAGTCTCAATAGATGAAGCGCAAGTTGCCATGCCTCAGTCGCGCAGGAGGCTGAAACAGCCTTAGTTCAATGTTGAACTCGTCAATTTCTGTCCAGAAACTGGGAAGGTCATTATTGACAAACCAACTTGTGGGTGTATGGTCGGCTTTGCTTGGCTGGTTTGGGCTGGTTTTGGAGCACTACCCCCAAACCACCAAACCCGTCAACTCACCCTGGACTCAAGCGAAAACATGCTCCAATCCTGCCCCAACACAGTAAGGCCCACCCAAAAACTCTTAAACCGCCAGCAACTCAACCCAACCTAACATAACCCATACCAAACCCATACCAAACGCTGAAGGCTCGTGAGAGTGCCAAGCTTTCCCAAAACCTTCCAGGGCAACCCACCCCAAAGAGGAAGAATTCACAAAACCCTCCTTTTGTCAAGGGAACCCACCCAACAGCAAAAGGAAATTGACCAAAACAGACCTTTTTTGTTGCTTCATGTTCAAGGGCGACCCACCCAACAAAAACAGGCAAGATACACGACACCCTCGTTTGGCAGGTTCCTGTGTAGGGGAACCCACCCAACAGTGTTGGAAGATTGACACAAGCCATGTGTTTTGTCGCTGTGTTTTCAAGAGAAACCAGGCGAATGAAAAAGAGTAATGCACACTTTCTCACACACACAGAAATACACCCCTCATTGTTGGCGTAGGTTTATGGAAACCCCGAGCCTGAAACAATAGCAATGGACCAAAGCCATGTCTTGTGTGTATGTGTTGCAATGCATGTTCAAGAAAGCCCCATCCAACAAGAACAATGATAAAACACCATGGACAACCTCGTGGCACAGCTAAAGCCCACCCCAAAACGGCGCGAAACGGGCGCTTGCCCAGCTGGTTGCAACTGCGGTGCGCCCGACTTCTCACATGCACGGATGGCAATGTTGTAGCCTCAGCTTCGCGAGCCACGGTTGACACATGGACGTGTCTCTTTCTCTTTTTTCGGTACCGTCATACAACCCTAAAAACGGCATAGCTGGTGAAAGTAGATGTCACAATTCACAAATTTTGATTTGGTCACCGTTTAGATCTACGGGGGAATTGCGCCATCAAACAAATGAACTAGGCAGGCAAAGGGACCGACCGGACCATCCTTTAAAAACCCCGCTTGGTATTAAGCCAACCTTTTACGGTGCCCTCATTCTGAGAACCCATCTGTTACCCTGATGCGGAGAAAAACAACGTCGGGTTCGTCCACCCGAGTTGCGGAGAACATTGCCAGGCCTTGCGTGGCTCGCCATGTTGCGCACCCCAAATTGACCATAGAGCAACCAGTTTTTCCCCCGGACCTTGGTCCGAAGAGCAGCTTCCGGATTGCCAAGTGCAGGCCGCATGACATACTCCGAGTCACCCCCTAAACCCTAAATGGAAACCCCCATTTAGGAGTCACACCCAGAACCATGCTTGAGGAAATACGAAGGCGGCAACTATTTATGGCTGGGATTGTCCCTTAACCTTCACCTACCCGGGCTTTGATTGTGGCTCAATGATAACCCATCCTACCAATCGGCAGGTCACGAACACTGATCCTTCCCACTGAAAGGCGGCACCATTATCAAAATCAAGGGGCTCCGCTTTCTCCAGGGTGAACCTTGCCGAAATATTGCAACGAGACAACCCCAACCCGTGTATGTGAAGTTGAAAAAGGCCCATGTTGAGGATCTTTTGGCACTTCCAATGCCCTTGGTTGACAAGAAAGCCCTCCAATTTAACGAATTTGTTGTAGTCGTCTGTGTCTTTGGTTTACATGCAATATTTAGGGCATCCACTCTGCACCAGGGGCGTCTAACAGACCTCATGCGACGCACCAAGGCGCCGGCTGATGACGTTGGCTGCCAAGCTCCTGCGAATCCGAATTTGTCTGCGAGTCTGACGCGCTCAAGCAAGGAAGCCATGCTTTTGAGGGCAACTGTTCACCTTGGTATAAAAGGAAAATAAGAGCAAATACAGCCTTCGGGGGTTTACTAGTCTACTCACTGTTTTCCCGAACACGGGGTATGTGGAGTATATGGTGGGTTCCTTTTTTCCCCTGCAGGTTGCTTTCTCGCGTCCTCTTGCGCATGGAGCGCAAGAGCTCCACTGAAAGAGATGGCAGCGTGGCGTCAGCGCAGCAGCCTTGCCACGAGCGTTAGAATTGTTGCAGCGTTACCCACTTAAATGTTGACCCAGGATCTACCACGAGAATCCTCCGGCGGCCGTCCCCTAAGCTTCACCAGGCTTGACTCTTGGCTCAATGGGAAAGCTCCGTGGGTTGCCCTCAGTTCTGCTGGAAATGGCGCGGTCTGACGGCATTTTCCGGGGTAGCTTCCCAAAGCTATCAGCGGCGTGGCTTTCAATGGGTGGATGCTAAGGTGAAAATGGAGGTTGACAGTTCCAGTGGAGTCTTTCCCATGATGCGGCCTTTGGCTCCACGTGCAGCCCCTTTTCAACCTCCAAGGAGACCTGGTAGGAAACTGACTCACGTCTTGGCATCCGCACACTTCGTGCGGGGTGCCAGTGGAATCTCCAAGGTTCACCGGAAAGCTATCCGTTTTTATTGCTCGTGCGGAAGCCATCATTTTCCAAAACAAAAAGGGCGTTTTCAAGTCAAGCCAAGGAGCCGAGATGCTACAAACAGCTCCACTACCCACATGTCTTGGTGCGCAGACTCGTTCAAAAGCAAAGGACTCAAGTAGGGCAAAGAACCAAGTCAGACCCAGGCTACATGCGTTCTAATAAACGGTGTCCGAGCACTTGCGCTCGACAATCATGTGCGTATCAAACAAAATTGGGAAGCCACAACGCTTTGGTCCAATGCGGTCGCCATGGCAAGGCGGGCTGCTAAGGATGCTGTTGAACGCCACGGTGTTGAGACTCACCTCGCCGCTGCAAAAAAGTTGCATAAGCCCCGGCTCCAAATACCCACCATCTCAGATAATGTCAACTCCTGACTGCAAAAGGAAGTATGAAGTAGTCACTGTTGACAACTCAGTGGAAGCTCGGGCCTGTTCCTACAAGAGCGGCGCATGTCTTCACATGTTCACACACCCAAAGTTCTTTCGCCCTTTCTGGCACTCTTCGGGCTAACTTCCCCGCATCAGCACTTCCATCAGGGACTCCATGTCGCCGTTCTTTCTTTGAAGCGGTCTGCGAGTAACGCCCTGATCTCTTCCTTGAGCAACTGCACCTCGGTGCCATTCCGCCAATCCCTGCCGCCACGCAGGCCCATTCGTTGTGAGCTCTCCTTGATCCACCACTCAGGCTATCCGGCTCATCTGCGCATCCGGCTCATCTCCTGCTTGTGCTCCGGCCGGTTTTTTTGCATTTTCTCGCGCATCTCCTTGTTGTCTCCGCCCTCCACGCTCTCAACTCCTTGGCTTCCGCAACCACCAACTCGATCTTCCATCGGCTGTGGCACATGAGACACGCCACATATCTCTGCGCTCCTGATGAGTTTCACACGCACATTCCAACAGCAATCCAACTGACAGCCATTCGGGCACCCATTCGCGCACACTTGACCGGCCCCCGGTAGTGGATGTTCTCCACCTTGTTGTCGGCTCTCTTCTTGGCTGTGAGCACGAGGAGCGGCATTGCTCATGGGTCCTCCTTGCGAAGTGAAGGCCTCTCACACCAGTGCTGCGGATGACAAAACTCTTGGGTCCAAAGTCCAACACATCCATGACGACATGACCACTCGAATCTCACCAACATTGGCGGCTTTGTTGACTGGAACTTCAATGTTGGCCAAGTCAATGGGTGCCCCCGAACTGTCTGAGAAACTTGATGGGGATGCGCCACGGAACGGGGTCTTCAACAACTGTGGCCTTGTTCTGTTGATCTTCGTCATCAACTTGTTCCTGATCATGACTCAACCCGCGAAAAAAGAAGCCCACTCGTAGCGCAAAACCATCCCCGGCTCGTTCCAGCACCGCTAACCGAAGACGACGCCCCAGAGCCAACATTCATCTTAACAAGGTTCTCTTGCCCGCGACGGTCAGGATACTGTGACTGACATTCAGTGACTGCTCCACAACACGCACACTTTGTTCGAATGGCATCCTCCGCAGCGCGGGCGTCTTGCCCTAGGCGGATTTCATGATGCCTCCAGGATCCCCATCCATATCGGCGAGCCCAAAACCGAGGGCTCCGCTACCATTGACAACTCAGAGGCAGCTCGGGCCTGTTCCTACAGGACCGCGAGGCTCCGTCGCCCTTATGTTCAACGGCGGCGCATGTCTTCACATGTTCACAACTGTGGAACATGTGTAGGTTTCAAAGATCTTGGCAAACTACCGTATTACCAACTGGAAACAAAGAATCCCCAAGTAAGCCACCCCCTGCGTTGGGCTAAATCATCCGTTTCACCCCACCAATAAGCCTCAACGCCTCACAAATTCCCGAAGATCCAGCTTGTTGTAACCGAATCCTCGAGGGGTTGTACCCTTCTTGGGATTGCTTCACAGGGAAACCAAACATGTTTCAGCAAATTCAAAGCACAAGAATAATAGTTCTCTGCTACCAACGACGGCCATGACACGGTCACTTTAAGGGGCATTCCCTGAAACTCACGGAAATGCTCGGTAGGGGGGTCGATTCCATGTCCATTCTTTTCACCTCGCTTTCTTTGCGGGAACCAAAATCAGGGGAGTCTTTTTGCTGTGTGAAAATGGGCGACCCCCTCCAAAAGGAATCTTTCACTACGAGGGGGTCGATCATTTTTCCACGAAAGCTAAAGACCCCCTTCAAACCCATGTTGGGGGGAAAAACAAAACGTTGTCGAGAAACCCCGGGTTCGAAAGCCGAAGCCAAAACCGAAACCATGAACCCAGCGTCATCTTGGAACCCACAAACCCACACAAAGGTTTCAGTTGCCATTTTGTTGCTACCCCAAGATAGACTTAAACCCACGGGGTCTGCTTTTGGGGAAATGAACCTGAGTTTAAGTCTACTCTGGGGTAGTCAACAAGTGGACCCTGGTTGCCACTATCTCAAATCAGGAAACCTTTTTCTTGACTCGTGGCTCAGGCTCTCCTTGCGGCTTTGCTTTCCTCAGGCTCAAGGAAAACAAAAAAACAAAGGGCAACCTCCCACCAATTAACATGGAACCTGACATGGGGTCTCTTTGACAAGGAACATGGTCTTCCCAGGCTTTTCTGTCAAGTTTCATGTGAATTTGAGGGTGTTCCCTGGCTTTACCAGAAAAGACACTCTGGTGTTCCCTGGCTGCCTGCTCGAATCCTCTGGGTACGAATTCCAAACCTGCTGGTGCAAGCCCAAACCAAAGCGTACGAGTCGCCAAAGTAACCCCAGAAAAAGCGGCCCACAAAAAGAGCACACGCTGGTTCATGTTGGAAACAAACAGGTTCAAACTCCCCACCCAAAACAAGACCAAAAACCAACCAAAATACAACCAAGCCCAACTTCATGTTGGAGCTAAGACTTTGGAACCCGTTGAAGTCTTGTCAAACACATGTGTTTGTTAGTCCATTTCTGGAACCGACAAACCACACCCAAACCAAGCAGCAAACACCAAACTCTGAAACAAAAACCAAGAAACTAAACCCCAGACCAAAACCAAAACCAAATCCAGCCTCATTTCAGAACCCAAAGACTGGCTCTACTAGTGGGCTACAGCTTGCACCAAACGACCATCAGTCATGTATGCAGCGTCAGAAAGGAACGCATTTCTTAGAACCCATTAAACGGGCCACCCATTGAACAATCACCAACCCGCAAACAAGAGCTCCAACCGAAAAACTAAAAAGCCGTAATCTTCCAGGGGTCTTTCGTGGCTATGCGTTCCACAAACAAGCAAACACAAACACAGAAAAAAAGGGGGGAAAAACCGGGACAATAGACCAAAAACAAGAACGCTAAAAACAACAAGAACCCAAAAAAGAAGGAGCGAAAGGAAAAAGAGTCCACGTGAGCCGGAAAAAGAAGGAGAAAAGAACAAAGTTCACGTGAACCGGAAAAAGAAGGAGAAAATAAAAAGTTCACGTGAACCGGAAAAAGAAGGAGAAAAGGACAAAGTCCACGTGAACCGGAAAAAGAAGGAGAAAAGGAAAAAGTCCACAAGAACCGGGGAGAAGAAAAAAGACGCGGGCGACCAGCCTCGAGGTCCAGCATTTTTGCGGCGGAGCGCCAGGCTCCATAGCGCCCGGAGATGGCGGTGACGCTGGCGGCGGTGGGCTCCAAGCTCACCTCGAAGAGGGCTCCCTATATTTCCCCTTACCCCAAGGGACACTCACCTTTCAACCTTTCATGGGCCAAAGGGATGTTTAACACCACCAAAACGGGAAATATATGGAATTTAGTTGAAGAACCAGCTGTTGCTGCTTTTGGGGCCTGACCCCCCAAGAAAGCGCCGCGCACTTAGTTGGTTGATCAAAAAGACCACCCCCACCAAGGGACACTTGCTAAACACCACCAAAAAGGGAAATATTGGGAATTTGGTTGAAGCAGGGAAGGTCTGAGTGGGTCGAAAGGTCAGCGAAGGAGCCATTTGGCTATGGGTGACAATTGAATACCTCGCCAAGGTCTAGGTCCAAAAGGTCATGGACTAGCCATTTCGTTGCCGTTGAATGGCACCAAGGACCTCAGATTTGTCCTCGGGGTTGGATGGGTTGGATAGAAAGATTTCGCTGGCTTGGACGGGTTTTCCGCACCATGTGGCTATCAAAACCCCTTTTCCGTAGCTTGAGTATGGCTCAAAATTGAAGAGCTGGGGTTGCACGGGTTTTAGCCTTTGGCTCCATTTGCCAGGGTGCCATTTTGGTACCACTCTTTTTGAGCCCCAGCCATTTGGCTATGGGTCAAAACCCAAAACGTCCCCCCCAGTGAACATCCCAATCCAACCACTAAAATAGGTTCTAAAATAGGCGGTGAATTCACCTGGCCCAAAATTTGGGATCCCATTGGTGTTGACCCAAGGACCCATTTTGTGTAGGTTACAATTGAATGGCACCAAGGACCTCAGATTTGTCCTCGGGGTTGGATGGGTTGGATGGAAAGATGGCACACTGGCTTAGATGGATGTCGTGTCCCAGCCAGGGAAACCCATCGATTTCTCCAGTTTAGGACTCCTTGCGGCTTGGTTTGAGGTTAACCACGTTTGGCTGCGGGTCGGGAATGAGAGTCCCGGGTGTTGGGAATCAACCGTTTGGGGACTCCCTTGAAGGAAACCAGTGAAATGGTTTATAGGGGTCATTCCATTTCTCATTCCCTGCCCATCAAACCAGCAAGTTAAACCATCAGGATATGGACCGCAGGTCTTTGTTGTTCCTTAGGCATTGAATGCACTGAATGCATCAGATCCACTGCAATTCCACCCTCTAAGTTTCCACCACCGTATTGGCGCTGAACTCGTTCTTCGCAAAAAAAGCAAATTGGGGGCACATTCATTTCGGTTTTTTTCCGGGCTGGGATGTTCGGACAAAAAGGGGGTTTTGGCCAACGAATCCAAGGCTACCACGCCTTTCTTTTGGCCAAATCAGAGGCTTCCCTACCCAAACCACAAGGCTTGCCGCACCTCCGTGGCCAGGAGACTGCTACATGTTCGCCATCCGGATGGTGTGTTTTGTCTTTTTCTTGGTGGGACATCCCTACCAAAAAGCTGCAAGGACGCCATGTTAGGAGTTCACCGATTTTGAGGCAAACCCAAAATTACTCCCGCAAAGTAGCTCAACAGGACCTGGGTCATGTCCTTGCACCCAGCCTGCCAGATCTGCTTCAACAGCCACCAGGCGGCCGGCCACTGATGGCCCTGCGAAGAAAGCTCGCAAAAAAAAGACGAAGGATAAAACAACTGCAGCTGGGCGATAAACATCATCCCACGGACCATTCGAAAGGGTTTGCGGGAAATGACTTTGAAAACAAATCGAATAAGGCATGGTCGTCAAAGGTAGTTTACGAGGAACTTCTGTGTTACGGATACTAATTGAAAAGTAACTCGGCGCAAAGATCTGATGAAGAATATATGAACGCATGCGAGCAAACATGCGTGGGCGTGTGGCGCAGAAAACAAGTAGTCGTTGAGGTAGAATCCCTGGCAGCGATTCGCGCTGGTTTATCCTGCGCGTTCAAAGGACACTCCAGCTATTTCAAGAGGGGACACACAAACAACAGCAATTCATGGGACGGGACCAAAAGGACATTGCACCACGAGCAGTTCCTTCCCATCCGCAACCGCAGCCTCTGCTGCTTGACTTTTGCAAAGCGGGAGTCACTTTAGGACAGGAAATCATCCCTCCAATCCTCCTTCTCGCATACGGGACAAACAATGACGCTGGCTGACTCCAGTGATTGCATGCTTGCTTCTAACATATTGCCACGCAAACGCAAGCAAAAACACAGACTCCAACACAGACACAAACCAGACACAACGCAAACACGGCGCCCGCCTGCTGAGCGGCAGCTATGCAGCTATTGTAGGCCAGCACAGACGTCCTCACGTCTGGCCCGACGAAACCCCAGGCTTCATCCCCCAATGGCCTCAACCCACATTTTTGTATGGCGGAACCTTTGTCCCAGGAAAAAACAACCGTTTGAAGGGTACGGGTCCCATACTCCTGGGGCTTGTAAAGAAATGTGTTTTGTTTCTTGCTTCACGTTGGAGTCTCCAAATACACCGCGTTTGGAGAGAAAAAACGAAATACCAGGAATTGTCTATGGTACATGCCTCCTGTGTGAGTCAGGGGTGGAGTTGACATCAGGGCATTTGAAGTAGGGTGCCCGATTTCTTGGGAAACACAACATCATATCGGATTGAGAGATTGTCACAAATCGAGGACCTTGTGGGTTGCATATTGGTTTCCCGAAAAACCCACAGTCAGGCTCGTGTCAAATATATCCCTCGGATTCCACCACAGCCATCAAGAAACCCTCGGAATCATATGGGCCTATCTTGTCTGTGAAGCATTTGGGGGGGTGGTTTAGAGGGAAACTAGAAGGATACCACTCAATTCGGGGTTCCCTGATCTAGGGAGAATCCCAGTACATGTAATGCTTTCATGTTTTGTTTGTTTGAGGAAGCGGCACGCGATGGATCAACTTAACATAAATCCTGGCGGCAAATGCAATCCACCAAAGAGTTCAACCAAATCAGATTCATACCCGGATTGGTGCCAACTCCTGATTCAAAAAGGCAGTGTGTTTGCCTGGCAAAACCCATCATTTTCCATCAACCATCCAACACGGCTGGGTATTTGGTGTAGGGCGAGCAAATAAGTCAAGGGTCTATCTGGCACAAGCTGTACTCCGCATGTGCGCCATGGTCAAATCTCCCACGCACGGTTTGGGCTATGACCACAACCAGGCTTCGACCAAGGCACATATGGGTTGGATCCCCTTGCAGGCAGTGTGGGAGTCCCCTTGCAATCAGAGTGGGAGTCCCCTTCACACCAATCTTCAACCCTCTCCCCGCTCCACTACCCCTCTACGGGCTGGAAAGTTGGAAACCTCCATTTCCCGATCCGTTTGCGATCCATTGGGGTATGCGTGGTAAAAAAGAAAAGAAAAAAAAGGCAGGCGCCGGTTCTAGCCAAAAAACCCAGTCAATGGACATCCCCTCGTTTGCCCGTCCCGTCCCGACCCGCCTCCTGAGACTCAGCGCCTCTTGCCATTGGCTGCACCTCTGGCACGCCGTGATGGCCACCTCAGACCTCGGCTCGAACCAAAAAACCGCAAGGAGCACCGGAGAATCTCTGGTGGATCAAACGGTCCTTTATATGGGACAACCTTTGGTTGGAAGACCACTAAAACCTGACATGTCCCATTCAACGGGAAAAGTTGACAACGGTCATTTGGGGGGCCACGCAAAGCCCGCTGGGGCTGCTGAAAAAGGCAGTTGAGGCAACCCAAAACCTGCCCAAGGGTCCCGATGTTTCCCCCTCCGATCGAGAGTCCCATGATGCTTAGGGCCTGCAAAAGACCAGCCAGGCGGATGGCAGTAGCAACTGCCAGAGACTCAACAAACGTGTCGCGAAACATGTTCTTCCTTAAGAGGACATGATTTGGTCCAAAGAACCAAACGATGTTTCTTGGTTAGGGTTGTTCCCTAAGGGGCTGGGATGAACCAACACGCTTGATACAACGGACCCTCGCTGAAATCGGCTCCGCTGCTTGCTTCAGATTCTCGGAGAAACCCGCGGCTCAGGACATCGCCGTGAGGATGGTGTTCCACCAACCCCAAAACCACTGCCCAAGGAAATGGAAAGAGATCTTGCCCAAAAGGACACCAAACCCTACCACAGCTCCCTCAAGTGTCCTAAAGAGTCACAACATCACCTCTCTGATATGGCCATGGTGTGGTCGTTCCCTTGGGTCCAGGGTGCGATCCACGTTCCACAAAACAACATAGGCAATGTGGTCGCAGAGGGGGCCTGCTGTTTGGCGTGTCTCAAACTGGGGGATGGGGAGGCGACATGCCTAAGCAACTCCAGGAAAACATTGTCACCGGATGCGCTCGTCTTCGTTTGGGGCACCCACCAACCACGTGGTTTGTTTCTTGTCGTGTCCCTTCAAAACCAACCAAAAGGGGGTACCAGGATTCCACTTTTTCACTACCCCAAGATAGACTTCAACCCAGGGATTTCCCTTTTGGGGGTATTGCACCATCCCTTCAAGTCCACATTGGGGTAGTCAGAAAGTGGAACCCTTGGGGGGTAATGTTAACCCCGGATTGATCAACCCCTGGTTGAATTTATAGGGGGGTGAATTCCCATTTTTGCGGGGGATTCAGACCACTTTTGGAGTGGGTTCCACCCCCAGAATGGGACGGGTTTATGGATCCTGGGTCAACATGACCGATGCCACAAACCGCAGAACGACGGATAAGATCCCACGGGCCATGTCGGCCTTGCGCTCCAGGGCCCCGGCTTCGGCTTCGCCACCAGCCACACGGCTTCGCGCCAGAGCACGCAGCTGGCTGCCGCGTAGGCGCCTCAAGAAATCCGACGGATTTGTCAAAGAGAATAATGAACCAATTAATGAATCTATTTCACAAGTATGAACAGTAATGAAGGCTTTATATTTAGAAAGGTATATGTCATTTGCTTAAAACAATAGTGTTTCGAATTAGTTACAAAAATGACATTTTAGAAACAGATTTGAATAAGGATTAAAAAAAAAAAATGTTGAAGGATGGGACTCCGAAGCTATCTCGAGGGGTTTGGGGCGGCCCCCAACCACGAAGCTGTTGAGTTCTTGTAGCCCCCCACTATATGAAGCGTAAATACCTAGTGGTTGGGGGGGGGGTTCCACCATCTTGCAACAAAGCGAGGCGTGTAAATACAAACCTAGTGGCACGCCTTTCCATGAGCCACTGTCGAAGCAAAAAAAAAGATGGAGCCTCAAATCCACGTGCTCGTGGTGTGAGTTCCCCTCATTCGGGTCTGAGGCTCGGGACCTCAAACTGAACCAATGGCTTCCTTTAAGGCATCCTAGTCAGCCGATAGCCTCCTTCTAGGCCAAACAAACTGGTACTTTTCGGGGGAGAAACTAGGAAGTGGTTGCTGGGCATAAACCCCTAGTCTCGAAAAGTATTTTATTTTTGTGTGCTTGTTGCTCCCCCCAACTGGCATGTTGTTTCGGGTTTTCCGAGGATAGTGTGCCCCCGGTTTTCCGGACGCTCTCGGACACTCTCAACCTTACCCACAGACCCCGTCTCATAAGGGGAACACTTTGCTTCGGGAAAAGCAACGAAGCACGTACCTCACAAACCTCCCATCTGCAAAATCGAGTTTCAAACCCCAAACAAAAATCCGAAAGAAGGTTCTGCCAATGACGCTAACGGACAAAATCCACAAGATGCACCACGCAGGTGCTTTGTTCCAGTCATAGAGCTTCATCCATCCAAGGTGCGTGGATGGTGTCCATCCACATGAGACTGGTGGGTTTCGTGTTCATCTGCAGGAGTGTAACTCCCAGAAAGTTCTCTCAGTGCCAACCCATACTACTAGGCGTCTGTATATGTCCCCCTTAACCAGCACCCCCGAAGAGAACACTAATCTCCAATTTGGCGAGAAACAAAGGTGCTGCTTTATTCCCCCGCACAAAAAAAAAAAAGAATAAAAAAGTGTGTGGATGGATTCATGAACAAAATCCTGCACCAGTGGTAGGGCCCAAATCAATACTTGGATAAGATAAGCCAGCTACTTGCTGGTGCGAAGTGGATTTGGTCCATCAGGGGTCTGTTCAAGAAATCATTCTGATGCGACGTTTCGCCAAAGACGCCCCTACTTCGAAGGCTCAAGTTGAGGAACAAACAAAACCAGTTGTTGGTCTCGCAGGGTCCATCTCACACGGTGCCAAGTGGATTTCGTCCGTCAGTATCTTGCATCGAGTTACCACCAACAAGGACCTTGCAGTGTGACGAAACGAAGAACAAAACTCCAAGCAGAATACTTTTGTCCGCGGATGAATAAACCCTATACGGGGTCGTGCCCCTCCAAAAAGTGGTCTGATTCCCCACGAGAAAGAGGCTACCCCCCTATTAAAATCAACCAGGAAGTCTACCCCTTTTGGAATCTCAAGAACAAATCACTTTTTGGGACAAAAACGTATGTCTTCCCTATATCCCCTGTAGAATCTCCAGAAAAAGAACACTCCAAACCCCTCACAACAACAAAAAAAACACGGTTTCCCCATAAAGAAGCGCTCCAAACCGACCCTAAGCCGATCCATTTATCAGTTAGAGGTGACTTCTCCCGCCGTCATACTGCGCATTTTGTCCCCACTCCACCCGCCATACTGCGCAAAATCCCACCCATTAAACCAATAAATATCCCAAATGCATTGATACAATCATCGCAAAACAAATGTATCAACCCATTTACTCCTCAACTCCTTGTGATTTTGCTAATTCACAATGCCTTTTCGATCCATTATGGCTACACTTGGATGTTTTCTTTGCTAAAAATACTTGACAGACATCGCACCACCACGAATCGCCACGATCGGCTTCCAACTTCTCCCCGGCTTCTATCATTTGATATCGTTTGTGCCGACTAGTGATTAAATGCTTCGTCCATTCTGATTTAGCTACTTCTACTTTGCAAAGATCACAAAGTCGTTTTTCTCTCTTCTGTTCCAAAATCTCGTTTCTATGATTGACATAATACTTATGACATTTCTCCGCCATTTTCTCGGGATTATTTTGTTGATAAGTCTTAGCAGTAGAAAGGCAATAATTACATACTTTTCTCCCATCCTTGAACTCTCCTAGTTCTTTCTGTTTTCTGCACCTACTGCATCTCTGTAAGTTTTCCATACTACTATTTACCATCATGTCTTTAAGTGTCTTCTAACTGCGTATTTTCTAAGCTCTCCCGGCGCCATACTACACAAATTATCACTCCCCCAAAAATGGTTAACCAATGGAAAAGGGAGAATTAAAACCGTTAACCCAAATCTTGAAAATAATCCAGTAAAATATGGATGGCAAAATGCGGATGGGAAAGGCCTATGTAGGAAAGCACCACCACGGCTTATGCGGGAAAATTAAACTAAAATTACAACATATAAGATCTTATATGTTGTAACTATAGTATAATCAAGAACTGAAACATTCATCTCAATAATAGCTAGCCGCGCTTTCATTATCGCTAAATTCTTCATCCTCGTCATAGAAGTCTTCCGTGCTTAATATATGATAAAATCGGATATGCCATTCTGCCTCTGTTCTGAATGGCATCATTTCCAACAGTGCTCTCTGGAAGCCCGTCCTGAGCAATGCCTGTGACTTCCGAAGCAACTGCCCTAGCCTTCCACAGCAACTGCCCTAGCCTTCCACAGCAACTGCCCTAGCCTTCCGAAGCAACTGCCCTAGCCTTCCGAAGCAACTGCCCTAGCCTTCCACAGCAACTGCCCTAGCCTTCCACAGCAACTGCCCTAGCCTTCCACAGCAACTGCCCTAGCCTTCCACAGCAACTGCCCTAGTCTTCCGAAGCAACTGCCCTAGCCTTCCGAAGCCATTGCCCTAGCCTTTTGCTTCAGACCTTCAGAATTTCCGATCTCAAATAAGCACGAGTCACACCTTGGACATAATAATAGTCTTGTCCAAGTTTTCGCTCAATCCTTTCAATTGTGAACTTGTTTGCTGACCACGAACTCGTTCTCTCCTTCTCACTGATTCCCTTTTTGCGGTATATTTTGACCTCATCGCCAACCCTAACAGGGGGATATTTACGGGTTTTGATTCTGTTCATCTCAAGCTTCATCTTGACCTCAAGATGGTTTCCCTTTTTGTGGGCATCGTTTGGAGTCATATCGTGGGCAGAATGAACCATTTTACTGTTGTATGTCAGCACGATCTCGGGGATATAATCAATCCATTGTATATTAACCTTTCCCTTTTTCTCGTCTGCATCAACCCTCTTGAAAAGCATGTCCTTGAACGTGCGGATGAAGCGCTCAACAAAATGAGGGTGCCCTCTTGTTTTGTAATTCTCTATTTGTTGATCCTTGAAAAAGTCAACAAGATCCTGATTGTTAAGACTCCCTTCGTCATCAGAGTAAATGAGGCGGGGCTTCCCGAGTTTGTTCAAACCTTCCATTATCCCAGCAGTGATGTCGGCAGGTTGCTTTGACATGATAGGCATCACCGCGGCTTTACGGGAGAAAACATCAATAAGAACTAAACCTATACTAAATTTTTGAGTTTGTAAATCATTTTTTGAAATAAAGAACAAATCAAGCTGAAATTCATACAGAACATGTGGAGCGATGAATGAATTGTATCCAGACAGTTGTTTTTTCCTTTCCACGTTCTCTTGAAACCACTCCTTGACATCTTGCATTGTTATGGATGCATCTTTCTTTTTTGCATCCTTATAAGTGGTGGCAACGCTACCGAACCCAGCCCGATCATAATAAATGGTTGAAATTATATCATCTTTATTAATACTGCTCATATTAATAAAGATGAGATTTTATTTATCTTCTTCTACTTGTGGTTCTTGCTCTGGTTGCTTATTTTGATCCATGAGCCAGTCTCGGTGTTTCTGTGAGTTTTCGTGCCGTTTCTTGTGTCCAAAGGTGAAGTATTTACCACACCCACATAGATGTTTTTCAGATTGAACATCTTTAATTTTTTGATAACGTCTCCGCCCTTCTTCTTTTCTCTTCTCTGGGTGCAACTCCCGATATACTCTCTGTTGCAAACATAGATATTCATTTAGATCATCATACCATTCTTTGCGGGTCCTGCCCGCAACAACTTTATTAATGCAATTGCTACGTCTAATATGTTTGCCTTCTTGTCTTTCCAACTCTGCTCTATTGTTACACGAGTATTCTTCAATCAGTTCAATTTTACAATTTCCCACTCCAAACTCATCGAATAAAAAGTATACACGAGTATTATCCGCCTTACCTTGCAGATACTCTTTATACTTGCTCCTATGTCTCTCAAACCGTTTTTTCAAACTTTCGGTTGTGCTACCAATATAGCACTTGGTATATCCAACATCTGTAACTTTGTAGATTTTCCCCTTTTCATACCGATTCATACCTCTATATACCCAAATCACTATTTCTTTAAAACGAAATTTTGTTACTGAAGCACCGATTACAAGAAGCACAAAAAGCCATCAGATTATCTTTTGTATGGGGTAGATCATTACATAACCTTTGACAAGTCAAATTAGAGTTTATATTGCCAGAATCCATTGACAACACGAAGCCACAGCCACAATTTGCACACTTTCCGTTGACATTGTCCTTCAACCATTCGGCATCCACATAATTGTCTTTTGGGATCTCAAATTTGTTTTTCCTATCCTGTTCCTTGTATGCTAACACCTTTCTATCAAAATAATTCATAATGCATTTTGCGTTAAACTCTTCATTTAAATCACTACTGTATTTGTAAAATTTTACTCTGTTTAAATCCCTTGCTCTAGTGATTGCAGTCCATAAAAACTCGCGAGTTATCAGATGATG